TTGAACTATTTACATAAACAGAATTTATTTTTGTGTCAGCATTTAAATTTACTCATACATCTCGATCCCTCCCTTTCATAATAAGTATCTCCTCCATATCACTTAATATAAATTTATATCACAAAAGTTTTTTTTTTAATTTCATAAAAATTAATTACTTAACTATACCCAACGTAAAGTGTTTTTTTCTTTTCTTTTGTTTAAACAACTCTTCTTTTATTGATGTCGGTGTTTGGGTTAATATGTGCAATGAATTCACACAAACAAACTAAGGATTGAACAGAGACTATCAGAATTTTAATTTTATGAGTTTTAAATTTTAAAATACTAAATTTAAGTGGTTATTAAGTTTTAAAGTTGATATTTGTACGCATTGAATACGTTTATTAATATAAAATTATAAATATACTGTTTGAGCAAAAGCTTTTAAATTCAGTCGAATCCGCTCCAAACTTCTACTTCCTCCCCTAATAAAGATCCTCCATGTATATCCTTATCAATATTCTGACGCCCCCTCCCCCCTTTTTTTTTAAAAAAAAATAGAAAATAGAGTCCATGTATATATGACGTATCATTAAACATGAAATTAATTAGAATATTAGAATTAAAAACTTAGTATGGTCAGTCCACATATGTGATTTTTTCTAACCTTTCAAATGTCCCAAAATAAGTAATTGCTTAAAAGGAAAAAAAGAAAAAGGCTATTAATTCTTCTTTTCCAAATTATATAATAACCGATATAAACAAAATTCTATAAAGCATTTTAATACTTCTTATATATTTTTTCAACGAGTAATTACTCTTATAACCCTCTTTTAAATGGTATGTTATGTATTTTTAAATAGAGTTAATGGTAAAAAAAACGCACCTAATAAATATCACCTTTCCAAAAAATTTATACTTTAGCTATTTATCATTTCACTTACCTTCCTACACTATCACTCCTTTTATACTGAAATATACCTAGATGTTGAGTTGGCGCAGAAACAATTTTTAGCCAATTCAATATCAAAATATGTTTTTAGTACAAAGAAAGTGATAATTTGTAATAACAAAATATAGGATAGTTAGAATATAAAACTGATATAAGAATAATAATTTAAATGGTTTTTTTTATCTCTTTTTTAATAAGTGCACCAAAACATTAAAAATCACTTATAATGAATTGAAGAAAATATTAATAAATGTATATAAGATACATTTTTTTAAAAAAATAAATAAATAAAAGAGAAGTATAAACCTAGCTGGTATATATTCCAACCACCAGACACCAGTGATGGAAGTAGGGAAGCTAAACTTTCTTCTGCTGACTCAGAAAGCCAAATAGTCAAGCTGAATTTAAACACATAACAGAGTAATTTATTACTACTCCTTCCGTGCATATTTATTTGTTTATATTTGATTTGATAGGTCTAATAACGAATGTAAAATTTTCATTAACAGAGTTAGAAAATAAAAATATAGTGTTTAAGACTTGAATTTGAAAACTCCTAAATTACTGAGTTAATTAATCTCTCTATTTTTATGTTGAGGAGATTCAAAATCGATATATATGCATATTAATAAGAAAGTACCTTATATACACCGTATAATTTTTTATCGAACAGAACCTCAAGCAACTCTTTAGATCCATCTTTGGACATACTCATTTAAGAAATAATAAATAAAAGAGATGATTAAAAGTATATTTGAATTGTGATTTTTCTTTTCAAGTTTCACATTCTAACTATCAGTTGTTCTTTTTTTTCTTATTTGTACTATGACCATTTATGTATTAGAACCTATCTAGTTGAGTAGATGGTGATAGTTCAAATATGAAAAGAAAATAACTAATAATTGTTCTAGTCTGCTTCGAAGTGTGTTTATTTTAAGACATAAATGATGATAATTTAGATATAATTTTTTTATTAATAGTTAAAGTATATAATTCACAAAAAAAATAATTTTATTATATCACTCTAGTTATTATAAGTCATTTAAATATTATTAAATTAAAAATTAAAAATAGAATATCACAAGAGAGGGACAATAGTTTTGCTGTCTTATTTACTACCTACTGCAATTCACAATGTGCTTCTTCACCAAGCTGTACATCTGGCATGGCTACCGCAACGGATGTGACTGTTTTTTTTTTTAATTAAAGGTTTTTAATTTAAACATTAGATATAAAATAATTTTTAATAGAAAATGTTTTTCACCTAATGTAAATTTAAATTTATCAATTTTAGTATGAGTATTGGATACAAAATAAAAAATCAAAAAAAAATAATCTGGCAGGGGACATTATTATGCCTCATAATTCATGGTAGATCAGGATTAATACATACTGTTTATGCCATGCTTTCCAAGTGTCACCATCATATTTCTATAGTTTTATATGTATTTTAAGAAAATTTAGGTATGTTTCCCTAAAATTTATATAAATAACTAAAATTCAGCTATTTTTGTGTGAACTTTAGGCAAGAACAAATGAAATTCTATCTAAAGACATTATATATCTCGAATTATTTCTAAATAAATAAATATATATATATATTTTTTTTAAAATTGAGATAAATTATTTATAATATATATATATATATATATAATTTTTAAAAAAACTGATTATTTTTTTTTGCAGTGGCTGAGTAGAGCATTCATTAACATTGAAATATGGTACATTGACTGTCGGTAGCAGTACAAGGACAGCTTTAAACATCATTAACAGGCCTAACACTTTAAATTCACCATAATTAAAAAAGAATTAAGCATCTTCACTCTTTAAGTGCAACATTAGACAAATCATTTAGGGTCATTTGGTAGTTGGTTTGGAGTAAATCCAACATAAGTAATTCTACGCTTGATATATAGCTAATTGAGATGTAAGTTATTCATGTATAAAATGAATATTGTGTTTGGACTAGCTATTGTGAAACCTGTATAACTAAATTATGCATAAGTTATAAGAGAATTTATGAATTATTTTTTATTGGATAAAAGTGGAATATGTATATACTTTTTTTGTCCGCATTTAATTGTCTACTATATTATGTAAGTAAATGTTCGATTTTACTTGTCCAAATTGAAACTCAAGAGATTATTTTATCATTTAGTTCCTAATTCATTTTACTACTAAATACAATCACTTTCCAAAGCAATTTTGAATTTATTTATATTCAAAGAGTAATATAGTAAAATTGTCATTTTTTTTATTCTTTAAAGGATATATCAAGTTAAAATACAAATATAAATATATTTATTAGCAGATTATATTATTTTAGGAATAAAGCACATTAATTAAGAGTGGAAGTGGCACTGCATTTCTAAGAACAAACTTTTATTTGGGAACCAGTTCCTTCTACCTATATTTCCTTTTTCAACATATTCTCCATTCTTAATTTCTTTGTGATCATGTGCATTAGATAATTGACAAAGTAATATAATATGATCATGCATGCAGTTAACATCGTGTCCTTGTTTGGCCATTTTCACCTTTTCGTAGACTCAGTGTCGGAGCTAAAATTTTCACTAAAAAAATAAAATAAAAATAAAATAAAATAAAATAAAATAAATAAATATATATATAAAATTGACACTCCTTGAACAAAGGAAGCTAAGAGTAAAGGAAGGATTACAATATTGCATATCATAACTTAAGGATCCATGATTTGAATTTTATGGGTTATTTAATGAGAGTGTAAGTGTTAAAATGAAAACTTAACTCTATATATATGTTTTTTTTTTTAAAGATATCTATAGAGTTATCTATTCCAGGCTTACTTAAGTTTTTTCGTAAACAGAGATAAATTTAGAATTTTAACTTGATAAATTCAACTTTCAAGGTTCTTAGCATTGCTGAATTTATTATACTTATAAAATGGCTTAAATCTAAATATTTGTTGAAATTTATGTGAGTTTTTCACATAACAATCCACACTTCAACGTTGAAATTATTGTGTTTGGATGAACCGAGTGCTGAATTAGTGGATCCGCCCTTGCCCTAGTGTTTGTGAACCCACAATTGAATCCCCTACTATCTACTAAGTTGCTCGAATTCGGATGTGGGTGTTTGATACGAGTGCAAATTTAGAGGTCGAGTCATTCATATGATCTAAATTTTAAGATTCGAGGTACGAAGCCAGGTACAATACGGGTATAGAGATTTGACTAAAAATAATTTAAATATCTTAAAAAATAAAGTTACTCATATGTCTGAATTATGTGATATTAAGTGCAATACTTACAAGGTATTATGAGAAAAAATAATATTGCTCAAGTGGAGAATTCCAAAAGGTGATATAAGAAAAAGGTCTGACATAGTAATTTCTACCTATACATTACTCTATTTTTTTAAAATTTCACCTTAGCTTATGTATTTTATTACAAAAGTTTTGTATCCGTCCCGAGTTTCTCCGTTGATTTTGGACAAAAGTATCCAAAATTAGTTGACAACGATCCGGTACAAATCCCACACTCATATCATGTCGAAATGAATGCAATATTGAAAGTAAAGAATTCGAACAACCTAAACTAATTCTAAACCCTAAATTGTGTCATATTAAAAGGTTTTACTAGTCACACACATATGTAGTGTGTCTAACATGGGCATGCACCCTAAATTATGTCACATTAAAAGATCTTAGTAGTCTAACATGGGCAAAAATATCACCAATATAATAAACATTAATTACTACATACAATGTATACAAAGAGTAGTTTCTAGCTAAGTTAATTTTCAACAGTTCCACAAGTGATCAAAGCATGGAACATATTTTGAACTTGTCTCTATACTTAAAGAGTTATGGAAAGACTTTTCTCCATTTAATTACAGGCTACAGCACTATAGTAAGATTTAAATGAGACCTTAAATGCACCTGCAGCATACACAACTAACCACATACTCTTTCATCTGCTCATATTTACTTCTCTGTGTGTGTGTGTGTGTGTGTTCATTACCCCTTTATAACACGCAGCTTACTCCTTTCTTTTGTCACTTCACTCTTAGTAATTCTCTCTTTGGAAGCAAACAAAAATGGGGAATTACAAGCAAAAATCTCTAATTTTGTGGGCTGTTGCTGCTGCATTGCTCACACATAATTTGGTCATTCCTGTTATGGCTAGACCTTCTTTTGAAGAAAAAAAGACATATTACTCTCCTGATCCGAGTACCGGAAATCCTCCTAGTTCAGGTAAAATTTTATACATACAATGTGGTTATAACATACAAATGACACTAGTTACTTGCTATAGTTAACAAGTTATAAACTTCTTTACGTTATTGACATTCATAGTATATTTTATGATTAACAAGTTCACATACATCTCTGTCTCATGGTTCAGGAGAAGGTGGTCATGGAACACCTTCGCATGGAGGAAAATCACCTGGTGGGAACTGTGGTACCCCGGCCCCTAGTGGAGGGCATCAACATCACCATCATCATAAACCTACCCCATCCCCTCCGTCAGGAGGGCATGGAGGTTATTCTCCGTCTCCACCAACTCATCACGGTGGAGGTGGAAGCCCTCCTAGTACTCCCAGTACACCAACTACCCCAACTCCTGACCCCGGTACTCCAAGCACTCCAGGAGGTGGTGGATACTATCCTTCCCCTACTCCTACTACTCCTACCCCTAGTACACCATCCACCCCCTCCACGCCTACTATTGAAACACCACCTACTCCTACCGTTGATCCTGGAACTCCAAGCACTCCTGGGGGTGGTGGTTACTATCCTTCGCCTACACCTACTACTCCTACCCCTAGTACACCATCCACCCCCTCCACGCCTACTATTGAAACACCACCGACTCCTACCGTTGATCCTGGAACTCCAAGCACTCCAGGGGGTGGTGGTTACTATCCTTCACCTACACCTAGTACCCCCTCCACACCTACTATTGAAACACCACCTACTCCTACCATTGACCCTGGCACACCAAGCACTCCGGGTGGTAGTGGTTACTATCCTTCCCCTACACCTACTACCCCATCTACACCTACCATTGAAACACCGCCTACTCCTACCATTGACCCCGGAACTCCTACCATTGAAACACCACCTACTCCTACCATTGACCCTGGAACTCCTAGCACTCCGGGTGGTGGTGGTTACTATCCTTCCCCTACACCTACTACCCCATCTACACCTACCATTGAAACACCACCTACTCCTACCATTGACCCCGGAACTCCAAGTGCTCCAGGTGTCTTCCCAATTGACCCCAACTCACCACCTTTTACATGCAAGTAAGTAAAACAAAAATTATTCTCTCCATTTCATTTTTACATATATATAAAGTACTCTGAGAACTTAGTACTCGTTTGGTATCTGAATAAGAAACAAGTTATTCATCTATTAATTACATGTTATAAATTGCAGTTACTGGAGGACTCACCCGACTCTTATATGGGGCTTATTTGGCTGGTGGGGAACTGTAGGAAATTCATTTGGTGTGGCTAGTGTTCCAGGTTTCGGATCAAACATGAACTTACTCCAAGCACTGTCCAACTCTCGTACCGATGCCTACGGCGATCTCTACAGAGAAGGAACAGCTTCATTATTGAACTCCATGGTGAGCAAAAGCTTCACCTACACTTCCAACCAAGTCAGGGATAGTTTTGTTTCAGCACTTAGTTCAGACAAGTCAGCAGCAGCTCAGGCACAGCTATTCAAGTTAGCCAACGAGGGTAGAGCTTGAGCAGAAGTCGTTAATCTCTTTTCAAAATCGTCACTTTTTCAGTTTCTTTCTATGTCTAGTAATTTCATAGTGATGTGTGCTTTTACTTAAGATTGGATACTAGAAATGTTTATTTTTCCTCTATGGTTTTGTATGTTACAATAGGCTATGAGTGAATGTCACGTTCCGATTTCAGAAACTCTATTTTCCATGTTATCATATATTGAACTTAATATGAAGAGTTACATATTATTCTACGTCATTATTATCGGATGGTGCAAAATATTTATACATCGACTAATGCACATAATTTCAACTCAATATGGTAGTTAGTGTGCTTTGTGATAGTTTAACTAAGTAGCTCTGAGAAATTATTAGTTACATGCTTTATGCAGGAAAATAATTAAACAACATATTTCTAAGAAAAATATCCGAAGTTTTCATTTTCGATTAATATTGTCATTTGCATACATTTACATTTTCAGTTCTACTATAACATTGTTGAATATTAAAGAGCCTAATGAAATATCTAGTTAGTACCTTTCCGCACATATAGGTATTGTTATGTCGACAACTATGTTGCTCAGACTTTTATAAAATGGTGAGGGGTGCATGTCAGGTCGTCCTTCAAAATTAGTAGTACATTTTTGAAGCATTTTTGGACAAGTCCGAGCAATTTTTAGCATGGTGTAGGGGTGTGAAAAGGCATTTCTAATACTTTGAAGATGTACTGTGTAAAGAGGCTTTTATCTATATTTTATCTTTTATTTACTATATACTTTAATCATATTTGAGCTATAATGTGAGTACTTAAAAAAATTGCAATGTAAATGATTTGTTATGTTAGATAATAACAAAACGAACAACATATATAGAGTCGCAATTAAAACGACTTTCACATTTTTGCGTACTGGTATCACTCCATCCTTTTTACTTTTAGGTCACTTTGAATTTTGTTTCTTTCTTAAGAATAATAATATTCATATTAATTTACGTATAAAAGTAATTTGAAGAATACGTAATTAATGTTGAGAGTAAAACAGGAAAAAATAATTATCTTTTTTTGATATATTAAAAGTAATAGGAGTTGGTAAAAAGAAAATTTTATTTTTTAAAATGGACAAACTACTTAATTACACAAAATTCCTACCATATTTAATATTTCTCCCTATAGTTTGAAATAATTACATATTGTCTCACTAATTGATAATTTCATACTATATTTCAAATAAGATATATCCAGATACACTGAAATAAAGAGAGAAAGACAAGTGAGATAGTCTATGTATTTCATATACATATGAATCACACTAGATACATGTATATGGGATGCCATATGCATTTCAAATACATTCTAAAATACAAATACATAGAGAGAGAGGCGAGTTAATTAGAAAGTCAAATACAAGCGAATCCACTATGATATAATGTATCTGAAATAAATTACACCTAATTATAACCTCATATATTCGAGATATATGTATCCAAACACACATAATACATATATCCGAAATCTAAATTCTAATAAGATTCATAATATTAAAAACTCACATGAAAGAAAATTTATATTATTTATCTTTTTTCAAATACTGAACAAATAAAAATAAAACGGTGAAAATTGGTTACTTGGGCCTCAAAAGGTCCACTAGAAATAGCACAAAAAGAAGGACAAATTACTAAAATACACAACACTTCTTTACCTATTATCAATATTTCCCTACTATTTTAATAAAATACAAAAATCCCTTATTTCCCCAAAATTCAACTAAACCGATACTTTATTTGTTTGAAGCAAAATCAAATCTTTCCCATTCCCTAAATTTCGCCCCCAATCTCTCCCATTACAATTTCAGTTATCAATTTCAAAAAATTTTGAATTTGAAAAGAATCCTATCACTGTTAAATCGGATTCAGAGTTCTAACTAGGGTTTTTCATCTTCTTCATTGTAATTTCCGCCATTTTTTTTTCTTTTATTTTGTATCAATCGTTTTATCTTCCATTATGCATCTAACATCTAAATAATCTCTAATGTTTTCTTCAGAAGATCCGAACAATAACGATTTCAGTTCTAAAAAGTTGGCTATTCCGATAACCATGACAAGTTCAAGTTCTAGCAAGAAAAAATCGAAGAAGAAAGTACATGCAACTACTTCAAAAGATTTGAAAACCCTCCAAAAAAGGGGTAGAAAGGTTGCCCCACCCATTGTTCGACCAACATTACCAAATGTAAGCATACATTTTTCCTAATTTTTATCATATATCTTACTCCTGTTTTTCCTAAAAATGTGATGATAATTTATTTTTTTATTTTTTTATTAAGTATCATCTGTGAATCGTGATTTTTTGTAGGACAGATTTTGGTCACTGTATATTACTGTATATAAGAAAATTGCTTAATTCAACAATTTTGCATGTAGTTTGATTTTTGTACTGTGAATCATAGTTAATGATAAGTCTCCATTGAATTATACAATATGATTGATTTTGTGTACATATTATGTCTTCTTGTTTTTTAGTATCATATACTTTTTTATGATTGATAAAAATCATTTATGTAATTGCAGAATGTCAGTTATGTAATTAAACATATTCCAATGAACTGCTTAAAGTTTGGTCCTACCTACAACTCCAATTTTATTGAAGATTTAGTACTGTCAATAAAGGACCAAGGTATTGAGTTATTCAAGGATACCATATTTGCCCCATACCTTAATATCCCTAAATGCAACTATCAAGGTCAGATTACCAAGTGTTTATATCTGTTAGAGATTGAGCAATGAAATTCACATTCGTCATGCCAAAGGGAATGTCTTGATATTTAGTATCACAGATTTTGCAATTATTACTGGTTTGAGATGTAAAGGAAATGTCAAAGATTTTAATTATCCAGCTTCAAAAACCAGTAGGCTTGTGCAAAGATATTTTCCTAGTCCAAATTATAATGTGAATAAAGGTCGCCTGGTAGATCGTTTTATGCAAGGTGGTTGGGACAACAATGATGATGCCCTTCAGATGGCTATCTTGTTTTTCATTCACACATTTTTGTATTCCCAACTTGGGGATGCACCAATTCCTATTGAAGATTTCTTCATGGTAGAAGATGGTAGCTATGAAGAGTACCCGTGGGGACAAGTGGCTTTTACAAAGTTAATGAAATCTTTTAGACAAGAGTATACACCCACCAAAAAAATGTATCGTTTGAATGGACTCCCATACGCATTGAATGTCTGGATATATGAATGTGCATCTGTACTAAATAACGAGATAGCCGTTAAAGAAGGAAACGGTATACCAATGATGTGCAATTGGCAAGTTGTTGCTCCAAAGCCCAAATTTGAGATGTTCATGGATACCATATTTACTGAGGTATTAACTACATAACAACATTTTTACTTCACTTTTTTAAGTATGCGATACACTATTAATTTGATTTTAATGTTGTTTTACTATTTGTTTGTATAGATTGACTGTTCTAACATACAACCAACTCCTGAGAAAATCAGATCACTTGATTTACCGGATAACAACCATGTACCTTCAAATCGACCAGATTCACCAATTGTTAATAACGAGGAGGTGCAACCGGAGGAGGTTCCTGATTTTGAAGACTTCTCATCAAAACCTCTGGATCAATTCTTGAGGAGATCAACTTGAGTACCTAGCTCAGGATCTACCCCACCCCGCAAAAGAATAAAGGTTGTACATCCACATAAATATAGTTTGTCCCACCTCACACAACCACATGAGCAACCAAAACAGTCATTTCAATCTCCAAGTTCAGAACCAAAACAAGCTGATAATGTATCTGGTGTTCCTCATAATACATTCTCTGGAAAAACAACTTTTGACAGTGCAGGAATGGAGGATCTGAAGATGTACATGAAGGGTTATGTAAGTAAACATTAGATTTAAACAATTGTTTATTCATTATTAAATCCATTTTATACGCTTAATTTAAGTACAGGTTGACAACAAATTTGGAGCTCTTGAAAATAAAATTGGAGCACTTGAGGAGTTAATAAAAAGCAATCAGTCTGAATTGCTGAAAGCTTTTGGCGCGAAAGATAACAAAACTGAAAAGGTTGTATTTTGATTTTTTGTTTTCCTTCCCAATTTTATGGTATACTGATTATTTGGATGATGAAGGATATTGGAGGCGTTTCATCGTCACACATGATGGATGATTCTGTAGAGAAAGGTGGTGTTGATTCACAACCCAAGTCTGATAAATTCGATCAACAAACCATTTCACCCATACAAATGGATTTTGCAACTGATTATGATGTTGTTAAACCTGATGTGGATGTTGAAAAAGAAAAGGTTTCTGATCACACTGTTCAAAAGGTGTGTAATTATATCATGGTTAATAGTTGATAATTTAATTTATCATGTGTTTCAATCCCTTAAATTTATTTAAGAATATATCATGGTTAATGGTTGATACTTTAATTTATGAAATATATGTTGCTAATTTGTGTATCACTGACTGTACTTTACACTTTACACATTAATAATATATATGATAATGTACTTCCCAACTTTATGGTATATTGATTTTGCAACTGTTGATGATGTCGATGAACCTGCTGTGTAGGTTGGAAAAGAAAAGGTTTATGAAGACACTGCTCAAAAGGTGTGTATGTATCTGATACTTAATTTATTTAAACATGTATTATTATGTTTTTAATCCTTTAAATAGTTTAAGAATATATCATGGTTAATGGTTGATACTTTAATTTATGAAATATATGTTGCTAATTTGTGTATCACTTACTGTACTTTACACTTTACACATTAATAATGTATATGATAATGTACTTTCCAACTTTATGGTATATTGATTTTGCAACTGTTAATGATGTCAATGAACCTGCTGTGGAGGTTGGAAAAGAAAAGGTTTCTGAAGACACTGTTCAAAGGTGTGTATGTATCTGATACTTAATTTATTTAAACATGCATTATTATGCGTTTTAATCCTTTAAATATTTTAAGAATATAGCATGTTTAATGGTTGATACTTTAATTCACGAAATATACGTTGCTAATTTGTGTATAACTGAATGTTATGTACACATTATTAATGTATATGATACTATATCTATATTTTTTGTATCATGCACATTAATATTCTAACATTGTCAGAAACTTTATTTTGTATTATACTTTAATTGTTTTAACTTGCACATATAAATGTACAAACACAGAAGTATGATACATCCATTAAGGAACAAGTAATGCAAGATTCAAGTGTGCTTCAACCCACAACACTCTATAATGATCCTTCGGTAAATGTGATTATTCATGATAAGAAAGTAGTAAGTGAAAAGTGTTTTTATTATTATACATTAATTATTTTTGAAAAAAAAACATAATAGTATCTGATATTTTCTTTATTAGGATGATGGTGCAGATACAATTCAACAAGAATTCGGAAAACATGCTTCAAATTCAGCAGTTGTTAATACATCGGTATGGTTGTAATTTGTTACTGGAAAATGCAAACAGTTCCCTGATGTGGCATTATTTTTTTTTAATGAAAATTGTAATATTTTTGTTATTTACTTGACATCATATAGGATTCTACCACATCGGCCTCCATTTCATTAGCTGTAGATGCACTTGTATATGGACTTCCAAACCAGCCAATTAATGTCAAACCTCTGAGTGTACTCCATCTAACCGAAGGTGATGATTTTCTATCTGACAGCCAGATACCCACCCAACTTCCAGGAGATGAGCATGCACCGAATACAAATACAAAAACTCCAGCTCCTCGTAACAGAATGCCTTCAAAGGTTTTGCAGTCTCCTTATGTGAATTCTTTTGGATCAAGTGATAAGGGCAAGGAGAAAATAGATGATGACATCCGCCCATACACTCCATTTGAAGATTGTCGTATCACATATCAACTCTCGTCAGGTTTAATGCAAGAGTTCTTAGAGTGGATACAAAAGGGACTCCTCAGAACACATGCGAAGAAGTAAGTTTTTCTTATTAATGTATCTTTATAATAATTTTTTAAAATTAATATTATATTCATTTCGACTTTAATCATTCTTATAGAAAACCATTTGAGGATAAATATAGAGGCAAATCTGCTCTATTTGGTTTTGACCATATGGATTTTGTTGTCGCATGTCCTGCTGACAAGAACTGGTTTTATACTATGTCATATCCAATGAAATGCTGGACTGACCAGGTACGTTAAGCATTCAAATTATGTATATGATACAAATGTAACATGTTTAATTTAAAATAAAGTATCAGATTATTGATTTGTTTTTCTTTTTCTTCTATTTATCATTTGTGTTTCAGATTGTGCTGATTATATAATTAATTTTTCTTTATTTTACAGCACATAGATGTAATTTTTTACTATCTATGTAAGAAGTCAAAATTAAGAAGCATGGATCAGTACTTATACACTACGGTCAACTGTTTGTTCAAGTCATATATCGACATTGTATACAAGAGGTATCATTGCTCTCCTGCAGATGATACTTTTAGTACACAGGAACATATTGATCGTGGTGTTACGGTATCTGCTTATGAAAGGTCTATCAAAGACATCATAAGTGGGTTTTCGATCCCAACTGCTTTACCATGGCATCTAGTAGATGAGGTTTATATTCCGGTTAATTGTGGCGAAGATTTTCATTGGGTGTTGGCTGTGGTTGTTTTAAAGGAAAGGTTAATACGAGTGTATGACTCGTCTATGGTATCAAGGAAAAAAGTTTATGCAAAAGAGATAAAGAAGTTGTCTGTAATGCTTCCAAACTATCTTCATGATAGTGGGTTCTTTGATAAAACGGGAAGAACTGATTGGGCATCAATGGAGGCGTACAAAGACAAGGAAACTGGTGAACTGTTGGGTCCACAACATTCGTTTGAGGTGGAATATGTTCAAGACATTATGCAACAACAAAGTGATAGCCTGTTAGTATTGTAAAATAATTTGTTTACTTACATATTGAATTCACTTTTTTAATGTATCTACTTTTTGTTTGCAGTGATTGTGGAATGTATGTAGCTGCTTTTGCTGAATATTTGAGCGATGAAATCAGCATTCCATCTATAAGTTTTCGGAGTGACTATTTTCGCAATAGATATGCTACACTCTTATGGAAGTATGGTATGGACAAGTTCAAGGCGGGATATGTTAGCGATAACGATGATCCTACAAGGCCGAAGAGTTTCTACACTATACCAACAGAATGTGGACTGATTAATATAGAATAGTTATGTTTTAGTATTGTGTTGAAGATATGATTAATTAGTATTTTGTAATATTCCTTCCCTTTCCAACACTGTTTTTCTAAGTATTTATTAATTTGAAGACTGTTTTGGTCAAAAATTGTATTCCAATTTTAATTATTTTTCCAATTTATGTATCTTATACACCAATACTGCCGCTACAATATAACTATCATATACATAATATATGATACTATATATTCCATAATTGGGTCCACAACTAATTTTTAATTTATTTAGTATCTATTAAAACATGTGGTAGCCTTGATGCAAATCACAAATTATGATAACATATTATTTTCAGATACACAATACCCATTCAATTATTATGTATATGATACACAATTACTATCAAATAATATGTTACAATTGGTACAAAAACAATTAAGTTTCAATATATTTAGTATCATTTAACATGTTGAATCTTGTAACATTACTTTAAATATAAAAAAAATCAACAAATTTTTATATAAAGATATAAAGGTAATATCCTATTGTGTATCAGATACAACATATCCAAACAATTATTACTTATATGATACACAATTTATCTAAAATATATTTTGAACTAGAACGTATATGATACTAAATAAAACATCACATAACTTAGTTGTTAGATACAATCTGCTATGCACTAGGTATAAAACAGCTTATCGCAATATATTTTAGTATCAAACAACTGTTTGTCTCTTGTAACATTTAGATAAAGTTAAAATCATACCAAATGATAATATCATATTAGCATATTCAAAATATCCAGAAACTTAGTACACATGAAGTAGGAAAATCCTTAAAATTAATCTTCAAGAATTTTTTGGAAAGAAAGTACATGTTCTTATATTGTGACTTTTTTGTCCACAACGTCCACAACAATTCGTTTTTGTGCTTAGCTTTTCGTCAGGATTTTTCTTCCTCTTTTTTCTTGGTCTACCAGGCATTTTTTTGTATCTTGGTGGCAAGACGACTTCGTTCAAAACACATTCTGGAGCTGTCCAATCATTTTTGTCTGGCATTGGTTCCATTGGAACTGCATAAGTATTTGCTAATGCATCATGTTTATAGTAATCAGAGCAGTAGGGGTGTACATCTTTAATATTCTTCTTCTTCAAAACGGCCATTGCGTGCGCACAAGGTATCTCGTCATGTTGAAATCTACCACATGAACATGTTTTTCTCTCAAGACAAACAATGTATCTTATCCCACCTTCATACACTGAAAAAATAAACTCAGAAGATGCAACAACCTGCAATTGTTTACAAATTATAGATATATCACATGTTTTTTCATTTGGTATACACAACAATATAATTAGAAGTAAAGTTAGTTACATAATACTTGTAAGATAAATATGTACCTTCATTGCTGCACATTTTGAAGCGTTTATAATCAATATTTCTTCAAATCTCCTCCCTAATGTTTCCTTTGTATAAGATGCTATTTCTCCATTTTTGCAATTCCAAGAACCAAATAGAATTCTAGCTTCTTCCAGAAAGTCTATAACAGGTAGTTGTCGTGCATCAACAAGGCAACCATTGATACATTCAGCTATATTTGAAGTCATCATTCTTCCACGGTTCACTGTTGCATGAGACCTAGACCACCTCTCATACCCAGCATCTTGAAGATACTCCTTTATTCTGTCATCTATTTTTTCCAATTTAGCCATCAATTTTTCAAAATCCTCTTTTCTATAAGCCTTTGCCATTGAATAAAACAGATCACTTAGTATGGACCTGCTTCTCCTAAAGTTTGAACAAACATTTTTCCAGAGGTGCCATATGCATGCAAAATGAGGAACATTTGGAAAAACAATACTTACACCCTTCTTTATGCTTTCATTTCTGTCAGATACAACACACATTTTATCTCTCTCACCAAATGCATTTTTAAACTGTTGAAAGAACCATATCCATGAACAATCATTTTCTGTGTCAACAATTCCATAAGCTAAAGGCAATATGCAACCTAACATAGAAACACAAAACATTAATTTCCAAAACTCAAACCCTCTCATCATTGGCCTTAATGTTATAAAGTTATTTAGTATCATATACGTTCTAGTTCAAAATATATTTAATGATATGAAGTTATTTAGTATCATATATGTTCTAGTTCAAAATTATTCTAGATATTGCAGAATATTAAAGTTACTTCAAAAAATAAATAAATTCATAAACAACATAATATACCTGCCCCATCGAGCGTACTTGCCGATACAAATGTCCCTCGGTAAGCTCCGCTAAGATGTGAAGCATCAACAACAACAACAGGCCTACATAATTCAAACCCTCTTATCATTGGCCTTAATGATATGAATAGATACATAAACTCATTTTTTTCTGACTTGTGCATCCTTATATATGAATTTGGATACACAGTGTCCAGCATATATATGTATCTTGGCAGCTGTTTATATCCATCAACAGGCTTTCCCCTGATCATTTCCAATGCTCGCTCTTTAGACCTCCATGCTTGCTGATAAGAAATTTCAACTCCATAGAGTGCCCTAATATCAATAATTATATCGTTGGGAGTATGTTTCCTTTTATGATTCCCCAATATTGGAGCTGTCACACCACTAACAAACCCAATAGTAGCTTGTACCTTACTTAATACCCTATCCCTCAATGGACATCTATGTTCACTATTAAAGTATCTAACTTTGAATATGTCTGAATTTTTCCTAACAGAGGCCTTCAATTTCCAACAACAATCATCTGAATAACATACTAATACGTAGCTGCAATTACACCATATATATTTGTTACTTGATCAGGTTTAATGTACTAATACATAAATAAAAACAGAAGAACAACACAAAATATATTATTATACCAGAAAGTTTAATCAGTACACATTCAATCATGTTCAGATGCAAATTTGATACCCAATTCAAAATTCACTAAATATGATAATTTATTGTATCCATTGCTCACAATTTTCAAACTAATCATTCTTCATCTACCATTCTAAATGTATACATAAATAACCATAAGCAATTCAAAACGAACATGATATGTAACACCTACGACGGCACGTAACACATGTTATCAGTGTCATGGTAAACATTTTAACAAACACTATAAAAAAAAATGAAGAAAATTATCAGATAATTTTATCACATACCTTTTGTTATCAGATCTTTTAACCTTAAAATTGAAGCTATTCTTTATTTTGTATTTTTCCATTACAGCCTTTAGAATTGCCTTATCCTTGTACATTTGTTTCACTTCAACAACAGAAATATTTGTATCTGATATATAATTCTTCACCTCCATTTCTGGTATGTAGTATGAATCACCAATTTTTGATTCAACAATGGTTAGAGCCTTTGCGTCGCTTTTTCCACCCTCAACACACACGATTGCACCTGTTGTTGCATCGAAATTTTGTATCTCTTCATCACTTTTATCAGAGGTATCAATGCATAGAGGATACATACCGAATCCCACCTCATGTTTCTTAATTTCTATGTACAATTTCACCCCCATATCATTCCGAATACACAATGGAGACGAATTTCCTTCAACAACGTATCTGACCTCAATGTTTTTTTTGAATTCATCTATACCCAATTCAGCTTTAATTGCTGAAATAAGATTCACAAGCGAAATATTTTCACAAACCACTATACCATCACTTATGTATTGTTCGTATCTAACATCGCTTTCCCATGATCCAGAATGCCTTAACAAGATCGAAATATTCATGTCGAATCTTCACAAAATAGCGTTCCAAATTTGAGAGAGATAAATCTTTTATTGTTTTTTCGAAAAACAGGGAGAACGTTAGAGGATTAAAAAAAGTAAAAAATAAGCGTGATTTGAAATTAAAAAAAAATATTCAGTTAGACGATTATGAACTATTGATTAGTTGAAGGAAGAAACGTAACCGTGATTTGTGGGAGACAATTATAATTTCAGTTTTTAATCCCTTTTTTAACGCCTTAAACTGATAACAATAACTTACTAATTTAAGTATCAGCGCGTTAGAAATTAAAGTATCAACGCTCCTTTATTATGTATCCGGAAAACACTAAATAAGAGATTTTTGGTAATTAATGAAAGAGTAGGGAAAGGAAGTAATTTCTTTCCTATACTATGTCATTTGCCTAATTTTTACCAAAAAGAAACAGAAAAGGGATACTTGGGCCTCAAAAGATCCACTAGAAATAGCACAAAAAGAAACAAAAAAGGAGTCAAAATAAAAGCTTAAAAAAAAGAAAAATAATTTCATTTTTTTTGGGAAACGTGAGTGGAATTAGTACAAGACGATACATAGTATTTAATTTCCCCCTTCACCCAATAGGAGAGTAGGATATTATATCCACGAAACGTTGATTATTTTGTGCATCCCAAGATAATCGCTTGCGTTACGTCACTACTTATGAAATTATTTCTCGTTTCATTTTATGTAACATCCTATTTTTTAGTCCATATTCAAAAAAATAATTTAACTTTAAAATTATTTTTATTCTTAATAAAATAATTTATAATTATTCAATCATCTAATTTAATTTTAGATCACGAATTTTTTTTAAAAAATAAAAAATTCCTAAATGTACGAATAAAACGGTACGTAATACATGAAAAAGGAAAATATAACAATAGTTCAAGCACAAAAAACATTTTTAATACTATTCTGGTGAGGTCCACCAATGACCTTATCTGCCAGCGCAATCGTGTGCCGAAATTTTCCCCAAACAAAAAAATATAAAGAATGAGCACATTAAGGAATTAATTGATTAGATTAACACATTGTTTATGACATTAAAGAAGTTAAACTACATTAACAAAACACTTAAATTTAATTATATCACACTTAATATTTCTATCCTTGTTAATGTAACTCGTGAGTTAATTCTACTCTTCCTCTAATCAGAGTAATCTTGATGTTAGTTTAACTAGATTAAATAATTTCATCCTTTAAGTACTCGTACAAAAAGATAATTATATACCCATGTCTCTATTATGTCTCGTTTTATATGTAGTGAATTATAAATAACTTTTATTTTGATATTTGATATATGATATAATTATGTGTAAAAAAATAAATAGGGAATGCTAAATAGCCAAAAAATTTGATCAGAATATGGTTAGAAAATTAAAAAGTCTATAATATCCTTTTTATTTTAAAACAAATTGATTTTTTTTCATTTTTTAATTAAAATATATTAAAATTAAAAGGATAAAAATTTTCAAAAAAGTAAAATAAAATAATGTAAAATATGTTATTTTATCTGACAAAATTTTCTGGCCAAAATGATTTTTCCAAATAAATATTTGGATAAACATTATAAAATACTCCCTGCCACGTTGCAAAAAAAAGAAAAAAAAAGAAGAAGAAGTCAGATCGGACCATTTTCCCAGTAATTCACCACAAATTACTAATCAATGTTCAATTTGCAAAACCAAGATCAATAAATTCACACACATATAAATAAAAAACGAACACAAGATCAATTCATTTCAAATCAAACACCAGAAAAAAAATTCGAAGAAAATAGAAGAAGCATTCTAATGGAGAACGGGAATTCTTCAGCAGTTGCTCGAGGGAGATTGGCGGTGCTTTCAGCTCACCTAGCAGCTTCACTCAACGTCTCCGATTTAACAACCTTCAAACTTCTAGAAACTTCCGGTGTATCCGCCGTTTCCGGCGTTGCACCTCCGCCGAATCTAAAAGGTGCGTTGACGATCATCGATGAGCGGACCGGTAAGAAGTATCCGGTTCAGGTTTCAGAGGATGGCACTATCAAAGCCACCGACTTGAAGAAGGTAAATCATTAAATTCTGAATCTTCGGATGTGCTTTTCTTCCATTTGAATTTTGATCTCTGTTTACGATAATTACGGTTTCTATAGCTATTATTGACTGTGCTAGCTCAAGTAATATTTCGTGTTGTTTTTTAAAATTCAAACTCGCTTATGCTTTTCGTTGGCAGTGTGATTGTATACCTGTAGGTTGAGACAGATCTAGAATTTCAAACCGGTGCACATACATGTCTTTAGATTTTTTTTTAAATGACATATATATACAGTTAGAATGCTAGGGAATGGCTTTATGTTGTATCCATCTCTGCCTAGAGGCATATGCGCAATAGAATAGTGTGTAATTGTTTTAGGAATCGGGATACTGTAGACTAATTGCGAGCAAATTGCATGGAAAAGAAGGGAGTTTTTCTTGTTGTATTCTTCGAAATCCAGGCACAGATACTCAGTGGATGTTATTTGTGGTTGTTTAATGATCTATGCAACTCTCTCCGTTCCTTTTTAGTTGTCATGTTGCGTTTTTCCATATCAATCTGTTGAAAAATACATCTTTAGTCAAAGTTCATATCAGTTGACTCTCAAAAAGGAAACTATGACAACTAAAAAGGAATAGAGGGAGTAATTGGTTAAGCCTGTATGTTGCTTTGTATCTTTCCTGAAAATGTTTGTTAATTTTTGGTATAATTGTTTTGCAGATAACAACAGGACAGAATGATAAGGGTCTTAAGCTTTATGATCCAGGCTATCTCAACACGGCACCTGTTAGGTCATCAATATGTTATATTGATGGTGATGCCGGGATCCTTAGATATCGAGGCTACCCTATTGAAGAGCTGGCTGAGGGAAGTTCCTTCTTGGAAGTGGCATATCTTTTGTGTAAGTGTTTCTAATGATAATTTTGTATATATTTAAATTTCTACTGTGCTGGCAGATTCATC